CAGTTGTCTGGCTAAACCTACTTACTTGCATCTTTTTGCTTAAATAGGAATCATCAGAGAAGCTGAAGGGGACAGGGTTTTAGGGTAATTCATCTAGCCTTTTTAAAGCCCCACTGTCACCATTATCCATCTCAAGTACCCCTCTCTGGTGATGACTTATTCTTTGAGCTCCCTTGCAGAGGGCCAGGTTGGGAAGCAGGGGCCCACCCCTTTCTGAGGAGCCTGGATTTTTTTTTTTTTCTGGTACTGGAGTTTGAACTCAGGGCCTACATGTGGTTTTTTTTTTTTTTTTTCAAGGCAGGGTCTCGCAAACTATTTGCTCTGGCGACCCTCCTGATCTCTGCCTCCTGAGTAGCTAGGATTATAGGTGTGAGCCACCAGCGCCTGGTAAGGAGCCTGGATCTTGAAGACTAGAAGAAGTGCTTCTTTCTTTTCATTTCACATCTCTGTCTGTCTCTCTTCCTCCTCCCTCTCACCCTTTTTCTTCCATTTTTGGGAAAATTTGCAGAGGCACGTATCACTATTATGCCATCAAGTTCATCCACTGTAACACATGCAGTTCAGTGAACCTGAGCAAATTTGTCTAGTTGTGTGAACATCACCACAAACCAGCCTTATGGTACCTTCTTCACCTTGAAAGTCCCCACCAGCCCGTCTGCTATCAGTCCTTGCTCCTTTCCCAGTGCCCAGAGACCTCAAAGCTGCCTTCCAGCTCTATGGCTTTGCCTTTTCTAGAAATTGTATATAAATGGAATCATCAGACTACAGTCTTTTGCGTCTGCCTTCTCTTAGCGTAATGTTTGTGTTTGTTCATTGTTCTCTGTTCCCTCCATCCATTATTATTTTTTGACTTATCTTTGTCTCTGTTTCTGTTTCTCTTTTTGGACTTTTGAGATAAGAGTCTTGCTATGTAGCTCAGGCTGGCAAATGTGCAGCCCACACACTTGGCGCGTCCTAAGTGGGTACCACTTGCAACAAGTCTGCCCCAGTCCCTGGGGGCCTGGATGGGTCAAGTGGTAAGCAGCAAGTTTAAATGGAGGTGAGGTGGGTGCAAGATGTCCTTCCCTCTTCGTGGAGCTGGACACCCTCAGCCTTTGTCCAGGGAAGGAAATAAGCATGAAATAAGCACTTACTAAATATGGGAGAATAAAGTCAGTTTACTGAATGCATGCCTCCGATCCACTTGGGGTGGACTGAGGCCTGAATGGGTGCTCTCAGCAGTGGGACTTAGGCCGCTGGGCCTGCCAGGGCTGCTCAGTCCACCTAGGCTTCGGGGCTTGGGGCAGCCTGCCCCAAACCCTGACCCCCAGCTGTGGCTATTTAATCTGTACTGGCTGAAACTAGACTGCGCTCTAGGACTGCCATGGATGCTCAAGCCAGACCCCAAAAGAGAGTGGCACAAGTTGCAAGTGGTAGCTGTGAACACATTGGCTTCGATTTCAGTGAAGAGGAGGAGGAAAGGAGGCGCGTGGGGACGTAGAAAGGGCTGCTGAGTGGAGAGGTCTCTGCTGCGCTCCACGGCCGGCTCCCTTGCTAGACGACCCGGTTTGGGTAAAAACTGCCTTCATTTCCATCTCCCTACTCGGAATCTAGAAAGCAAAAGGGATCTCTCAGGATGTGGGGCCATGGCAGACTTCGGGATCTGTTACAGAGGGGCATGGCATCACTTCTGGCCTTCCTTCTCCCACCCTGACCCCGGTAGCCCCCCCCCCACACACATGGCTACAGTGCTGGAACAGTGTGGGGAACAGACATCTGCTGTCTGGGGCTGGGGAATCTCCAGGCTGCCCCACTGGGCTGGGGGCAGCTGGACTGCAAGCTGCTCTTAATGGTTTCCACAAACAATACCCCCAAACAACCTCCATTGCCTAACCGGCAGGAGAGGGGAAATTGAGCCAGGGTTCTAAAATGTCTCTCAGAAGTCAGTGGCTGGAGAGAATGACATGTGATAAAAGGGAGGAAGGCAAAGAGGCACTGACTGGGGTGACAGTGGAGTCAGAGTGCAGCCCCCTTATTCTTGGAGAAACTCTTGTTCTCAGTATATTTGTTTTCACCTTGCCTTGAGTAGTGGGAACTATTTAGAAAGTATCTGGGGGCAGGTGTGGTGATTCATGCCTGTAATCCCAGCTACTTGGGAGGCAGAGATAGAAGAATCTTGGTCCCAGGGCAAAAGTATGATACTATGAAAGATACATTAAGGCTGGGGGTGTGTGATTCAGGTGGTATAGAACCTGCCTAGCAAGCCTGAGGCCCTGAGTTCAAGTTCCAGTACCACAAAAACAAAACAAAAAACAGTTTCTGACTATTGAAGCAGGGCAGGTAGCAGGAACAAATTACATCCCCCCACCGGCCATTTCCACTCATACCCTCTTGTTGCTAGCTTTCCCTTCAAGGGTGCCCAAGCCCCTGGAGCTTCCCCAGGTTCCCTAGCTCACTCTATGCTTTCTCTTTTGAAAGCCTTGATGGAGTTTGGGGGTGGAGAGGGGCAGGGGCGCTGGCCCAGCCTTTGGCCTGAGGGCCTTCATGGTGTTTCCTCTTTTTGTCCTCACTTGAGTGGAAATCAGCAGGTGGTACTGCTCCTGCCCAATCCTGGACTTGGCTATAGTGACAGTCATTTGTGCCAGCTGGGATGCAGCTAGCAGAAGGGTTGGGTCAAGGAGCTATGTGACAAATTGGGAACCCCTCCCCCAAGGACTCTCCCCAGATGCCCTACCTCAGTGCATGGTGACCTTTGTGTGGGGCTTTGGTTTCCCGATTCAGGGAAGGGTGTGGGGTAAGCAGGCTGGCTTGGGTATGGCAGAGCCATAAGGCAGCTGGCACCTCTTGTGACACCTGGTGTGCTTTGATGTTTTGCCTTTCCCCTCCCTGTTTACCTGAACCTAGCTGGGGTGGCAGATCACAGCTGTGACTCAGAGCTGGCTGCCTTCACTAAGGAAGTGCTGCCAACCAGGTGAGTCATGCCAGGATGTGGGGGCAAAGAAGAGGGTGGGCTGGGGGAAGGACTGGGCGCTGCTTTCGGTTGCCCTGTTTCTTGACTTGATAATGGCTCTGGAGGGAAGCCAGGATGAGGGCTGCGACTGGCCAGCAGGCTTGGACAGCCCCTCTGTGTAGGGCTTTCCTGGGCCTCGGCTCTGCCCACTGGTGTCTGGGGTGTGCATAGGGCTGGAGCTGGTGGAGAGGGCCTACACTTCCAGGGGAGAACTGGGTGCCCCCAAACTGGGGCTGGGACCGGCGGGGTGGGTCCCAGAGTTGGTCCCAGTTCCCTTAACAGAGATGGCAAATGGGTGGTGGGCAATCATGGGAACCCTGTACCTAGGAGCAACAGAGAGGGCAGCAGGTCCCCTTCCTCCACGGACACTCCTTTTTACGCGTCCCCCGAAAGATGCTTTTACGCCTTCCGCAGTCTCCCGTGGGACCGGCTTGGAAGCCAGGGGCGCCTCTTCCTGGTCGCGAGACCCCAGCCCCGGGTGTGGGGGCGAAGCCGGGTCCCGCTGCGCAGTGGCCCGCACGCGACACTAGGGGGCGCTCCTGCCCAGCCGAACCCACCCGGGCGCGCCCCGCTCCGCAGGTTCCCGACCGGGAAGCGCCGCGGGCGGCTCCGGGGCGGGGCGGGGCGGGGCGGGGCCGGGGGCGCCTCGCGGGGACTGTCCCCAGGTCTCCCCTCGGGGGCTGCGCGGGCGGTGGAGGGAACCTGGCTTGCGGTCACGTCCTTGCGGGAGCCAGAGACCCTCGCCAAGGCCAAGCAGAGGTCCCGCGAGGGGAGTGGCTGCGGGGACGCCGGGACCGAGGCGCAGAGGCGTTGTCCCCGGGAGCTGGTGCATGCGGCGGCGACACAAAGGTCTTTGAGTCCCCACCTCTCCCTTTCCCGCTGCCGGGGGTGGCCCGTCTAAAGGACAAGGCCGATTTCTGGGGGTGGCCGCCCTAGCGTCCCTCTGGACCTCAGAGGGCTCGGCTGGACCCTGCGGTCGCGCCGGGATCGGGGCTCCAGGGGCTCCTATTGTGAACAGAAGGAGGGGCCCGTCCCCGTCCCTGAGCATGTCAGCCTGCCTTCCCAGGACTGAGTGCCCTGAATAGTAAGTTGGCTTGCGTAGGGTCACAGTCTGGGCCGCACCCCGGGGAGCTCTGAGTTGCTTCAACATCTCTTTTGGGCAGGTCTTTTAGGGGCTCCCACAGCATCCCAGTGATGGGCTGCCTCTGGACCATGGGGACGACGAGTGAAAAAAGACATTCCAGGGCCCCACCCCATCGCCAGAGGCAGAATCTCGAGGAGGGCTCAGGAATCTGTGTTTCCGATAGATTCCTCCACGATTCTGACGGCAAAGACAGCGTGGGAGCCACTCTCCCAAGCCTTTCAGGGCAGGTAGTTGTAAAATTGTTCCTATAAGAACCTCTAGAGACCCAACTGTCACATCCCGTCAATCACTGCAATGTTTATTTGGCCTGCTGATAGAGTTCTGCCTGAGTCTAACTTGGAAGTTCTCCTGCTTGAACCAAGCAGTTTCTCCAAGTGGGAATTTCTGTGGAATAAGGGAAGAGACTTTTCTGGAACCTGTTAGAAAGCAGCCATCCTGCCTTCTTTAAGGGAGCTTTCTCAGGAGACCTGTTCGCTTTGTTCAACCTCTGAATCCAGTAGGCCCACTTAATTGGGCCTAATGGTGACAGAGTCAAATCAAACCACTTGATTATCAATGACTGTGGTTCCTTTTGGTGATGGCCAAACAGCCTCCTTTCAGGGATTGGGAAGGAAAATCCCAGACTGGATCCTGGCAGAAAAAAAACAAACCATAAAAACAAACAAACAAACAAAACAAGGCTCACCAAATGCTGGGTGCTGGAGAATCCTAGCAAGGAAAAGGGAAAAAACCTTATCTTCCGCCTGCTGATGCTCTCTTCCCCTTCAGTGACCCCTTTCCTTGCTTTCAGGATGAATTAAAATTCTTATCTGCTGTGCTGTCCAGCCGACTTGAACTTGCTTTCCTGAATGTTAGTTGCAGTTAGAGTTTCCCAAGCTTTATGGGGTTATTTTTGCCTCTGGTGGTGGTCATGACTTCCTTCCACGGTATTAGGTTCAACACAGTAACAGAAAAAGAGCAATTTAGTGAACACCCTCAAAATGGCAGGACTGACCCCCAAACCTACTTTCATTTTCTTCCGGTCTGGGTTGTGGGTAATTTCTTGACAACTACGAGAAAGAAGACAATGAGAAATGAATTGTTTTTCCAATGCAATTGTGAACAGATGTGTAATTCCCCAGTCTCAGGAACGTTCTAGGAATCCCTTACATCACCTTAAAGGGCCAGGGAATGGGGAATGGGTAGGTGGGGGGAATATTCAGCACTGACACTGTTTTTGCTGGTCCCAAGGACAGCTGCAGTGATAACCTAGGTCACCTTTGCCATTTCAGGGCTTCTAAATTTGGCTGTGTGAACAGGCTTGCTTCCTTTCAGCCATTGATCTGAATAGCAGAATCCCTTTCTGATGGTCCGAATCACATTTACAGGCGGTGAGGGGAAGGCTGTGCTAATTGGCCACTTGCCTCACCACTGGCTTTTAAACAATCGGTTGCATTCTCTGCTTGGCAGGAAGCAGCAGACCCACCAAGGCCCTGGGCTCTCTCTTTGTTCTGCCTTTATGGCATTTTATGCCACAATAAGAAATGCTGTGTACTCCGTGGGAGTCCATTGTGCCAGGCTGTAAGATTCTGGACTCTGCTGCAAAGGCACTGGTGATCTTCCCCCAGGAAGAAGAGGGGCTTTGTGATAGGCTGGGGACAAAACAAGGGGTGCTGGACACTGTTGCAGGCAGCTCCCTGGTCAGTGTGGAGGCAGCTCTGGTCCCCCCAGGGAGAGGGCAGGGGAAGGATGGAATTACGGCTAGGGTAGCGGCTCCTGGTTACCTGGTAAATTATGCATCAGGACCATGCTCACCTCTTCCCTGGGCTGCTGAGGCGACCTCAACCTGCCTCTGAATTCTGTGCCCGGAGATTGTGCCTCTCTAACCAACCCTCATACTCCACCATCTTGATGAGCAGAAGTTTCTTTAACTGTGGGCTAAACCCGTATTTCAAGTAGATTTAGCTCATTGAGGCAAGAGTTTTTGGTTTTGTAGAAACAGTGTGAATGGCAAGGGGCCCTCTACATGGTCCATCCTGTCTCAAACGTGAATGGACAAGTGGGACCTGAGAGCTACTTCTGACCCTACCTGCCTCTCTCTCTCTCTACCAGCCATGGCTGTCTCCTCCCCTGACACCTAGCTTGATATTTCCACCATTAACAATGTATCCAGGAGAAAAGACCAAAAGAGGGCATTCTCTCCAGAAGACACTGTAATAATCAGACAGAGACAAGACCTGAGCCAGGAGAAAGCCCAGAACAAATAATGAGGTGTCCCATGTGGGCATGAAAGAAATAGGGAAAGGAAGGCAAATCCACCTAGCTTCACAGGCCATTCTGTGTCCCCATCAGACTAAAGGGTGAGCCAAGTGGGGTTAGTTGAGGCTGCTGGGGTCCTGAGCTCTCTAGAGATGTTCCACAATGAGCATGTGACATGTGCCCAGCTTCCTGCTGGGCGTGTGCAGTTGTCCTCTCCATGCTCACACACCCAAGCCTGTCCTTTCCATCTCCCATGCTCTCCATGTGACCCTCCTTATTGCCCTGTGTCACCCTTGCCTAGCTGGTTTCTTCCAGCCCACTCTCCATATGGCTGCCCGATTTATCACTCAAAAACCCAAATCTCAGGATCTGTCAATCCCAGGCCGGAAACTGTCCAGGCCTCCAGAGCCACACCCAAGCCCTTCCTGCCTGGCTCCCTGCCTACACCTCAGGCTCACTTCCTGGCAGCCCCAGCCACACAACTCCTTGACTTTCTCCAAACATGCAGGTCTTCCTTTGTCTCTGTGCTTTTGTATTTCCCTGTGCACAGAATATTGTTTTCCTTTGCACACCCCCACCATGTCCATCTGCCACACTCTCCAGGATTCAGTTTAAACACATCTCCTCAGGTGATCAGTTGGCAAGCACAAGGCAGTGTTGCCACCAGATCACCAAAGCAGTGAAGACTGATGGCAAAAGGCACAACTGATGGATTAAAAAGCATGGCTTCCCCAGCACTGACTGGCATGCTTGAAGAGCCTGGTTGCAGAGTCTGTTCTGGAGAAGGGGTGGAAACAGGGAGTGAGAGTGACTCTCTCATTTCTCTAACTCTGCTCTGTGCTTCTTCTCTTCTGACAGTCTTCTGTTATGACACACAGTTTTGAGTCCTCTTGGTTACTAAGTCCTCTACAGTTCTCTCTTTAGACTGTGAGCTTCTTGTAGGCAAGGAGTATCTTACTCATCTCTGGACTCCCAGGACCTAATTCAGAATTAGGCAAACAGTATGTGCACAGAATAAATGAATATACCTTGAATTTGGCAATGTACCTTTACCGTTCTCTCTACAAATCTGTAATATCTTTTTCTCCAAAACATAACTCAAGACTGGCTTTCTGGAAGAAGTGGGTTCTGATTCATTAGTTCATTGTGCTCCCCAGAAGTACTGAGCACCTATTATGTGCATTTTCTAGGCCCTGCAGAACTGTGGGACACAGAGAGGCAGGGTCCCATGCTGGAGTTGCTAGTGAACACTGACCACCCATGAATGCCACTTCCGTGTTCAGCCACAGCCCAGGAAGATGTGTTAACAATTTCAGCCTCTGGGCGTGCAGGAGGATCTCCTGCCCCTTTTCCTCACCCCCATCTCGGCCCCTGACCCAGGGCAGTGAACCGCGGAGTGAGGAAATGGTGGTTGCCATCATTAATAGGCATTTAGCACGGGGTTTCTTAATGAGACACAGCCAAGAGGTCCAATGGGAATGACTTCTCCAGTACTGGCAGATAAGGAGCAGGAGGGAGGGCCTCTCTCCCCACTCAGTGCCCCTCTTTTGCTAAATGTTACCCTCAGGTCATGAGTATCTTCTGTAGCAAAATACTCAGACCAAAACCCAGAAGACTGTGGATGTGACAAAAGTCTGGGGGAACCTTTTAACTGGCTATTTGTCCCATTACTGCTTGATGGTTAGAGTGGATGAGACCTGTTTCAGGGTTTCTCAAATTAAATGTGAACCAGTGATGAGAGAAGAGGTTGCTTGGCTCTTTCTGCTCCTTCTACTCTGGTTCCCAGTATAACTTACTCCTTTCTCTGGCAGCGTTTTACTGGAAGCTTCCTTAGAATCAGTGCTTGAGGGCCTTGGTTTTTATCCACCGAGTTGTACTGTTTGTCTCCTCATGTTTGCTCTGCAGTCTTGGTGCAGGACTGCAGCTGACACTGGGGACAATGTAACCCACATCCACCCTGGTGCTTTGAACTTCAATGTGCAATAAAAGTTCATTAAAAAGATGTGGAATCATGAAAATGAAGTTACAGAAATGTTAACAAAGGATCATTTCCTGCTTCCTGTACTTTCCTGTTTTTTAAAAAAATCTATTTCTCTGAGGAATTTATGTCACCATTAAAACCATGGAAGAGTTCAGGAAGGATAGGCCTGGGTCAAAAAGAGGGTGAGATTCCTGAGGAGATAGGTTGGCAGAGGCCCAGCCTATCTTCTTAATTGAGAACTCAGGATCTAAGGGAAGAATTGAAGCCAAGAGAAAGTATGGATTATTCTAGAATTCTTATGACTAATTGTTGGAATTCAGCATTTTTAATAAGGGTGGCTCTAGATGGATTGTACCTGTCCAGTGGGGTCTGTGGCAGGGTGAGGAACATTGGGGATTATTGGGCTCCAACTTGTAGGCAGAGAAAGAGAGAGAGAGAGAGAGAAGAAAGAGGGAGAAGGGGAGGCACGTGGAGTAGGATGACATAGGCTGACAGATCACTAATAGTGCCTTGTGGCACCATCTTTGGCCTGACCACTGCCACACTGGCCCACCTTCCAGTCACACCCTTCTGACATGAGCAGAGTTCAAGATCAAAGTCTCAAGGTGTATCCTGGGAATCCAACACTAACAGCATACTAGCCCTTGATGTGACCTTAAGGAAAAGAAGGTGACTTGTGCTCGCAGAGCTCTTAGCTGACATGACCACAGGGAGCCATCTGATGAAGAGGGAAGTCCCTGACAAAGACTGAGTGTCCTAGGACGCTTCAGAGGGTGGCCCACGGTTGGCTTATGCTAAGGTCAAGCCCTAGTCAACAGCAGAGCTAGGCTTTCTCCTCCATACCGAGTGGCTTCCTAGGGAGCCCAGCCCTCTTATTAAAGGAAGGGCAGCCACAGGTGACCATTCCTGGTAAGTACATTGTCACTTGTCTGGCAAAGCCTCTATCAGCACTTTTTTTTTTTTTTTTGCAGCCTACCTCCTTCAGCAGGTAGGTATACACAGACAGACAGACACACACACACATGTAGCAGCAGAACACACCCTGGAATCTGAAGCAAAACAGGCAGAGAGGCATGTTTTAGGGTTTGATCACTGATCAGGTATCCTGTGGGAAGGTCCCACTTTTGCACAGGTCCTCTGTGTTTGGACAGGGGCATGCCCACCACATGGTGCACACCAGGCCCAGCATCCTTGCTGGCCTCTGCTTTGGGCAGGAGCAAATATTCCTACAGATTCACTCATTTCTATGATCATTGATGACCACTTAATTACTCCTTGTGTTTAATAGTAAGCAATTATGTGATTATCACTTTTCAGCCGGAGGGTCACTGTGTATACACTTAGCAGCCACTAAATCTTACTCCTAACAACGACAGTCCCAGATCCTACCAAGTGACTGTGAGGACCTCAACAGATTGCACATCTGATAAACAACACTGCAGGGTTTTCTGGGCTGTGCCAGCAGTTCCAGGTCAGGGCCAGACTTACCCTCTCTCTCAAAACCCGCCTGTAGTTGAGTCTCATGAGTTCTGCAAACCTCTGCTCATAGAGGTGAAGCAGCAGTACCAGGTACAAGCCTGAATTCATCAGCTCATTTTGTGCCTAAAATGGAAAAGAAAGCCAGTAAGTTCATCTACAAAATATTAATGATGTCGGCCATGGGATGGGGGATAGCAGGGTAAGTAAGAGATGATAAGAAATGGGACAAGATCCCTCGCTCCAATTCAAGGCCTGCCCTTGGGGACAGAGCAGGGAGAGGACCACAGTGGAAGGTGGTAGTCATCCTCATACAGTTCCTTACTATCTATTGGAGATGCTCTAGGAAGTTTCACTTGCCAGGCTTGGTCCCTCTACCACAGACATTTGTACCATGAGCAGCTACATGTGCACAGCTTTGGGGAGCAAGGGCAAAAAAGCCCCAATATCTGCTTAGACTCCATCACCTGTTTTGGGGGAGGAGCATCGCTCACAAACAGCTTCAATACAAGTGGAGGTGGGAGTGCTACAAGGGAGATGAAAAAAGGAAGAAGTTGGGTGTGACCTGGGGGAGACCTTCTTGGAGGAGGCGGTCTGTCATGGTCCTTAAAAGATGAGGGGACTTTGGCAGGTGGCAGTAAGTGTCAAGACCTTTCGGACAGAGGCACTGAAGGCTAGCAGAGACAGGCGGAGATAGCAGAGCATTGTAGTGGGCAAAGATCCCTTGTGGAAGGTGTGGCTGGAGTATCTGGGGTAGGTGTTTGTTTTGGATTTTTACAAAGCTTTGGCATGGCCTGGGGGGATGGTGAGATGGGGACCACATTAGGCAGGACCAAGCAGTTTGAATGTCATGCTGTGTGTGTGTGTCTGTGGTGTGTGTGTGTGTGTGTGTGTGTGTGTGTGTGTGTGTGTGTGTGTGAAGCTGCTGGTGTCTTTGAAAGAGGTGTAAACAGGTGGCGATGTTATCTTAAAAAGGCACACTTTAGACTGAGGTGTGGCTCAAGTGGTAGAGTGCCTGCTTTGCAAGGGAGAAGCCCTGAGTTCAAATCTAGTCCCACCAGAAAAAAAAAAGGCACACTTTACCATGGGATAATCTTGGACACAGATGCCATGGGCATGCTTTACTTTCGTGACTCACCCTTCTTTGCCCACAGAAAGGACTCAGACCTCATTTTGGTATAGTTCTCCCTTTATAGCTGGGCTTAATGATGGTCTCACCTAAGACCAGGTGGTATACTAGGCAGGGTCTCAGCTAGCACTGGGAACCTCAGGGCCTTTGCTTGGGCTTTCTTTTGTCAGTTGTTTTCATGTATCTGCTTTGAATGCTGCTTTCCTGCCCTTCTACCTGGCTGTGTCCTTAACTTCCTTACAGGTGTCACAAATGCCACCTCTTGTGGAAGCCTTCCCGATGAACCTCATCTGACCCTCATTTCTTTACTCTGACACCTAAGCATTTGTCTTTATTTTGTACACCACATCTTGCACTTGTTAATGTCTCTGCTTCTGTGCAACAGGAGGGTTGTGTTTTATTTTTCTCACTGATGCTTGGAGCAGGTGCTACACCAGGTTGGGCTGGCTGTGTGGCCATGGTGCCACAGATCCTCAGCTACCTGACTGTACTGCAAGGCCTCGCTCTTTGGACTCTTCCTTGACCTTCTATAAACCAGCAGCCCTAGTAACGACTCCCCATCTTCAAGAGGAGAAGGGAGGGGTCTTTCACTGTCCATTGGTCCTCATGCCAAATCCCCACGGGTAGGGGGCTCTGGGATGGACCAGGCTGTGCTCAGGAAGCAAACCTGCCCCAGGGGACTAAATTCCCTCTAGAGGACATGGTGCTTTTATGTCACCCTCAGGAAAGGCCAGAACCGTGACTCTATGTGTCTAGGATGACAAAGAGTGGACTTGACACAGTGACACTTCAGTGTCTCATCTTCCTGCAGTGGCCGAGACACTTCACAGGTTCATCTCCCAGTTCCCATTAAGTCAAAGGCAGCTCAGGAAGCTGATGCAGAACACAGTTCTCCCAAGAGCAGACGGCCACAGGAAAGGTTTGGAAGTTGAGCAAAGATCGATGTCCCCTTCCTTCTGAGACACACTAACTCCGTATCTTGGTGACAACTGGCCTCTAGGTCAGTGCTCAAGGCCTCTCCACTGTCCTCCAGGCCTCTCTTGAAAGGCACAAGCACTCTGTCCTTTGCAGTGAGCCTCCTATGTTTAGCCTTTGGTTTTTGTGTGTGTGTGTGTGCTTTGCTAACCTTGGCCTAGAGCAGGGCAGAGAGCAATTTGCTTGTTTTCACTTTTCTTGTTTTTTATGCCTCCTCCCACCTTCCCTGAGAGTCAGTGCCTGCACCTCCTTTCAGGACAGTATCCAAAGCCACCTCTTCTGGGAAGCCTTCATAATGTGCCTTTTAGCTTCTCCACCCCAACCAAGCCTTGTCCCTTGCTGGGTTTCCTGGCCGAGGGTTTTCTCTCTGGCATACTTCCTGTGCAGAGACACTCTGATGCATGATGGCAAACCAATCAGCTAGAAAACGGCTTGCAACTCTCAGGTTTGCCAAAGCATTCAGGGAAATCATTTACTTTTTATGACTCAGTAAGGCCTGGAGGCATGCATATGGGAAAATATCCACTAATGTTTTCTGCAGATAATTTGAAAAGTCACTTCTAGCAGATCGTGTCTCTTCCCTGTTCTGTGGGAGGGAACCTGTCACCATAAATCTTGTGGCACACCTCCTTCTATGTGCCCTTTGCAGAGTGAGATGCTCCACACACCAGGGCTCAGCTGGCCAATCAGAGAGGGTGTTGGTAGGCGACCCAGAGTCACCCTTTCTCCTCCCAAGCCACAAATGGGAGGGACCCGTTCACTGCATTTGTTTGGCAGAAGCCAAAGGAACTAGATTTTGGAGTGTTATTGATTGGAGCTGCTTCGGACCCAGCCTCCCCTGGCCAATCACGTCACAGTCTGGCTCCCACATGAAGGTTTCTTTGTCGCCAGGCTGAAGGGATTGAGGTGGCAGTAGGGAGTGGGGACACTTGGAAAAGAGAAGGCAAAGGCAAGAGCTGAAGAGAGCTCGGGCAATTGCCAGCTGTTTGTCTTTCTTTTCTCCTGCCTCCCACCCTTCAAGTTCGTTAATATTCATTGTGGCCCAAAGATTCGCTACCGATGAAAATTCTCAACATCCAGGCAGTGCATTTGAAGAAGCTGACAACCTGGCTGAAGGCTTTATGGTCTTCAAATATGTTCCAGAAGTGCTCCCAGGTCTGAGGGTGATTAGGGCTTGCGTCTGTCCGGGAACATCTGTCCTTGGCTGGGATGGAATGAAGCCAGGCCTGTGCTTGAGAGCAATGACAGCCAGAGGCCCACCGAGACCCTCCTGCATGGCAAAGCAAAAAATAGCAGGAGCACACCTCCAGGACACAGTGGGTGTGGCCCAGGAAAGTGCTGCCTGTAGATTGGGCAGCCTGGGACCAGGAACACTGACTTTGGGTAAACAGTTTTAACTGTGTGGGGCCAGAGTAGCTCTGTTTATTAAGGGGGACAGGTAACCTCTGTTCTGCCTGGTTCCCCAGCCATTATGTAAACTGAACTAACACAGAGAGCCATGATATTTCCTAAAGCAAAACTATCTCACATGAGGCAAGAATTAAAGCTAGGATTCCAGGGGCACAGTCTGGGCATAAGGTCTGTGAGGGCAAAGCCGACACCTCGTTTGCACCTGTACCTCTAATGCCTGGCCTGGTACAGAGTGTGTGTTCAGTAAACACATGCACAATGAGTGCATGTGCTCAGTAAATACATGAAACAATGAGAACAAAACACAGAATTTTGCGTGGCTCTTGTTCTGACCCTCCCATACCACAGTCACTGCACACTTACAGTCTTCCTTGTTAAAAGGGGTGACACATTGGTCTTAGATGCCCTGGAATCCCCAGCACAATATCTGATATATGTGGGTGACTTAAAAGTTAGTTAAATTTTTCTGTTATATGTATTTTGCCACAATTTCAAAAATTGAAGCCAGGCATGGTGACACATGCCTGTAATTCCAGCACTCTGGGGGTGAAAACTGGAGAATCTTGAGTTTGAGGCCAGCCTGGGCTATTTAGCAAGACCCTGTCTCAAAAAAAAAAAAAAATTATACCTGGCCCCATTTCAAGCCAGTGAAATCAGAATCTCTGGTATCAGACCCAGGCATCAACTTTTAAATAGGTAGGCTTCCAGCTAAAGGTTAAAAGGTGGCAAATTAGGGAATTTCTGCATGGATTTGATGTGTTTATTTTATTTATTTATTTATTTATTTTGTTGTGCTGGGGATTAGACACCAGGCCTCACGCATGCAAGGCAGGTGCTTTGCCACTGGGCTACACCACCAGCCTTTTGCATGACTTTCATAATTAAAACAAGACAACACTACTAAGTGGGAAAATGCAGAAAAACCCTGCTACCATACATCTCAAGAAGGGAACCTGTTTACCAGGGAGCGACCAGCCTGAGGATGGCTAAGAGCCACAGGTTGGGCATGGGCTATGTGGTCAGAAACACAGGGGCACATGTCAACTCCACTGCCAGCCCATGGACACCAGTGCCTTGGGGACATGCTGAGGTTCCATTTTGTCCTAGACAGTGTTGTGCAAGACAACTACTCTGGTCTTTGTCCACGCAGTTTCTGAACTTGTCTGACTCACACTTGCCTGTGTCTCGAGTTTAACTCGTACTGTTAGCAAACAGACACTATTAAAATCACAACAGGCCACGGGAACAGTCGGAGCTGCTGTGAGAGTGTGAGCGCTCCACGGCTTTCCACCAGCAGGTGAATAGGCCTGGTGCGTCCTGGGATCCGTGTTCCCTGCCTGGGGTAGGACTGCAACATGGTTTCCACCTTTGATTAGAATGAGGGGTGTTTTCAAAACGCTTTGATAGCCTATCAAGTTCTCCCGCAACTGACTTTAAAATCCTACCTGCTTCCTCAGAGAGTGATCACTGTGCGGACCGTTCTCCATTTTTCCACCAGAGCCACTCCCTGCCCTGCTGGGGTTGGGGAACCGACCCATGGATTGTGTCAATCACTAGGCTGCCTGGCCCTCTGCTGCCCACTGGGTTTGGCCAGTGGGTTTGACTGGCAGGAGACCAGAGAATGGAGGAGAGAGAGCTGGGGTGTTTGTCCCTCCTGTTCCCTCTCTGCTCGGCAGTGTGTGGCCGTGACTGCTTCTTCTACCGAATAGCTACAGCTCTCCTGGGTCTGACGAGAGTCGCCTTATCACTTCAGGCCTACAACAATCACACTTGTTGATCCTTGTTGCCCTTTCTTCCTTCCTTTTGTGGCACTGGGAATTGAACTCAGGGCCTCATGCTTGTTAGGCAAGTGCTCTACCAATTGAGTCATACTCCCAGTGCTTTCAGGTTTTTCTTTTTTTAGATAAGGTCTTATCTCCAGCTTTTATGGGGGCCAGCTTTGGATGGAGATCCTCCTATCTCTGCTTCCCAAGTTGCTGGGATTACAGGTATGCATCACCAAACCCAACTTGCTTTGTTTTCTTTTGCTGCTCACATTTTGTCCTTTGTTCATCCCTCATCACTCACCCTTTTTGAGTGTGTCACCATCCCTTCCCTGCCCAGGCTCCTGCTAAGACAATAGGCTCACAGTTCTTTTTAGAACATACTTGCAACCAGCTATACCCATGGCAGCATGCAGTGAGACCAAGTATATATGTAGACCCCTGGGTAGACAGGTTGGTTTTGTGTTCTGTGATGAACTCCAGCCTGGTCCCTGGTGCCAAAGAGGTTAGATGTCTCTTGGCTCTAGCATGGCAGTGCTTGTTCACTGAGAGTCTGCTCTGTACAGGCTTTGCGTTCATCAGGCGATGCATTGAACATCCACCTCTGCAAAGTGAGCGTCATCTCCCACTTCCTCCAGATGACAGCACTGAGACCCTGTGAGTTAACATAGCTCCCCCAAGGTCATATGGCCCCTCTGGGGAAGGATATAGGATTTAGACTCAGAGCCTAGCCAAAGCTGGTGTGCTTTTCAGTGGGCTAGGCGTCCTCAGGCTATGGAAGTACAAATGTTTTGGTACAACAGGAAAGGCTTGTTGTCACTGGGCCACTTGTACAAACAGCCCTGGTAAAGAAGCAGTTTGTGGTGACAGCAGCTCAGCACAGCATGGAAACACTAGGGTCCAAGAAGGCTCTTTATTAATGAGGCTTTCTCCTAGGTTGTGCCATATCCATGATGGCTACAGAACATACTGCAACTCTTACATGGTCCCTACATCAGACCAGGAGAATTACAGCTGCTGGAGGTCGATAATCAAGTAGTTTAATGGTCCAAGAGCTTACTTCTACTTACACATTTTGAAAATTGATCAGTGTCTACACTCTAAAAACTGTAATGATGCTAACACATTAACCTTTTAAGTTCAAGAATGAGAATAAACCGTCTCCATAATGAAACAGTATACTCACACAAACCTAGATGATACCATCTACTGCACACTTGGGCTGTATGGTATGTGCCAGCATATATGCAGTCTGTCATCAACTGAAAGGTCGCCATGCAGCATGTGACCGTAATCTAAATCACTGTGATTAGTGATTTTATAACATTTTTTTTTTTGGTATTTTTTATCTGAGAAAGTATTTCTCCTTTTTTTGTTACTGGGGTTTGAACTCAGGGCCTACACCTTGAGCTGTTTTTTCACTTTAAATATATGTCACAGTGCAAGCTTTGGGTTTTTTGGTTTTTGGCAGTATTGGGGTTTGAATTTAGGGTCTCGCACTTGCTAACCAGGTGCTCTATCTACCACTTGAGCCACTCCACAAGTCCTTTTTTATGTTGGGTATTTTCAAGACAGGGTCTCGAGAACTCTTTGCCCAGGCTAGCATCAAACCTCAATCCTCCTGATCTCTGCCTCCACAGTAGCTAGGATTACAGGCATGAGCCACCAGTGCCTGGCTCCTCTGAAGGCTGTGACTCTCAGACTTGTCCCCACGGAGTCTCCAGTAATCCCCACTAATTACAGTGCAGGTTTTTCTATCCAGCCCCGGTTCGCACAGAGGATTTGCTTCTGAGTTTCTGCTTTGGTGAGTTAAGATTTCTCTCTGTCTACCTGTCTGTCTTTTCAATTTTCAGGGAAGAGGTTTGCCTTCTGATCTCGCTTTCCTTGAAGATCTAAGAAGATCTGATGTTTCAGTTGGTTCAGCATTTTTAGTTGTTTTTAGGATGGAGTGGTGACTTCTGAGCTCTTACAGAGGGAACTGGAAAGTGTACTAAGTCTTGGAATGTGACGTATCCTATGGTTTGGATCTGCCAGAGGCCCAAAGCAATGAGGCCATTAAGCCTTGGGCTGGAACCTCCAGAACCGGAAGTCAAAATACACATTTTCTCTTTATAAGTTAATTGTCTTAGGTATTTCATTATAGTCACGGGATGCTGACTAACGAACCCACTGTGAACCAGCCAGGCATGGTGGTGCACACGTATCATCCTAGCATTAAGGAGGCTGAGGCAGAAGATCTCAAATTTGAGGTCAGCCTGGGCTACATAGTGAGACCCTATCTTAAAAAAGATAAAAAGAAAAGAGAAAAGTGGAACCCCAATCTGACTGTGGTGTTTACAGGTGGGAAGTGATGAGGATGGAACCCCATGATTGGACCCCATTGGCTTTATAAGAAGAGGGCTAGAGGTCAGAGGAAATGTATGCTCCTTGTCTCTTGCCTTGTGGTGCTATGACCATTCTTGGGGCTCTGCCAGCAAGAAGGCTATCATCAGATGTGGGCCCTTGAACCTACAGAACAGAGAGCTAAATAAAACTCTTTTAAGCCCAGCACCAGTGGCTCATACCTGTAATCCTAGCTAATCAGGAGGCAGAGATCAGGAGGATCATGGTTCTAGGCCAGCCCAGGCCAAAAAGTTTTCATGACCCCATCCAAACAGAAAAAAAAAAGCAGGGCATAATGGCGCCCCTGTCATCCCAGAGGATGGATCATAGGAGGACTACAGTCCAAGCCAAGCAAAAAGAAAGACCCTGTCTCCAAAATAACCAGAGCAAAAAGGGCTGGAGCTGTGGCTCAAGCAGTAGAGCACCTGCTTCATAGATGCAAAACCCTGAGTACAAACCAAAACAAAAAACCTTCATTTTGTTTTCACCATGGGGAAAGAGCATACAGACAGCTACTGGCCGTGTAGCCTGAAACCTGTTTTCTTTATAAAGTTGTTCAGTCTCAGTTGTTTTGTTATAATTTCAAAAAACAGATTAAAATACTTTACACTTAATATAAAGCTATGGGATATTTTACTCTTTTTTGATGCTGAGTGTTTGAAATTTGGTATATATTTACCATACTTACAGCACATATTGATTAGAGCTAGTCACCTTCCAAGTGACTTGGGGCTTCCATATTGGAGAGTGTAAATCTAAATACAAGATTGTTTACTGAGAATTGGGTGATTAGCTATTACCTTGGGCATAAATCACCTTCCCACCTGAGGTTAATTAACTTTTCGCGGTATTTGAAATGCAGTCCAATGCCTCAGGAGAGTGTTCCCCACCTTTTCTGTTTCCAGCTCGGCTAGGTGTTAAAAGGCACACGGTAAGCATTTGCTACACGCTTATCAGCCTCAAGTAAAAAAGTTCCTTGTTACCCTGGAGTTCTTTGATATTTAAGTTAGCGACCATTTCCTCCAAGACTCTGGATTTATTTTTCTTTTGTTGCTATTAAATTATTCCCCCAAATTTGGATACAGAGCATGCCTAGACTTTTTGCTATTTACGTATGTCCAATTGGCCACTCTGACTTCTTGCTTTTGTCCCTGACGGCAGGTAGATGTCAACCCTGGATGACCGAGGGACCCCAACTCCTCCAATTTAGTGACACAGACCTTTGGGAAGAAGTGAGCCAAATGGACGTTCTCAGACTCACGCCTCACACAGGCCTTCTACATTCCTTCCAACAGGAAAGTGAGACTGGGGCAGTGGCACATGTGGCAGAACACTCGCCTAGCAAACTTGAGGCCTTAAGTTCAATACCCAGGCTCAAGCAGCAGAGAGCCTGTCTAGCAAGGGCAAAGCCCTGAGTTCAAACCCTAGTACCACCAAAACAACTACCAACAAAACCCAACGTCCAGTACTGCAGACCAGGGAAAGTGAGTTTCTTCCTGTCTTGCTCTTCTAATCTACTTTGGTCAAGAGGCAGAGTGGGCATGTATGCTTCTTACCAGGGATTGCCGGTGCTTCTGGTAGAACTCAGTCATGTTGAAGTCATCCAGGTCGACCACTAGGCCCTGCTTGCACATCTCACAAGTCTTCACAGTGCTTAAATCTGCTCCTTTAATTAGATAGAGATTATGTATAAAACAGTAAATCTTATGTGTTCTCACCCCCCCTCCACACACACAATATGACACACAACAATTCTGGGTCTGTTTGTCTCAGCCCACAGGCAGGTGATATTTTGAGATTGAACTTGTGTGTGTTATGAATTCTGAGCTCTAATGACCTTCATTTAAAGTTAGTCATCTTCTGTAGAAGATGACCTTGAATCTGAGATCTGAAAAATTCCCTTTGTAATCACTTATTATACAAGCCTGATGTAAGTGAAATTCCCATGACTTTTAAATAACAGGTCTTGTTTCTATTTAAATATATAAACATAATGCTTCATAAAATTGGAATTGCTACACAGAAGCTAAAGCCTGTAACACAGGTGTTTACAAAAAAGAGTGACTAGGAGGTCTATGTGTTATTTTTTTCTTGTAGATCTAACGTACATCCAGGAAAAATAAATTTGTGAGAACGAATTAGAAGGCAGAAGCTGTACTCATCAATGGCCTAAAAATCTACCTTTACTCCCACGCAGGTGAGAGTCCCAATGGAGAAAAGCAAGGGAGCAAAAGGCCATGTGTGGGGACAGATAACAAAAGCCTCTGGGACCAGCACCTGAGCAAGTTCAGCCTCATTGAGAAAAGAAACATGAGAAGCTTCCTGTGCTGTTCGTTGTTGTTATTTTAATAAAAACTTGCATTCTAGATCAGCATTTTTTCTCTACTTACTCTATTCCCCAAAGCAGAACTGTGGCTATTCTAAGTCATAAATGCCCCACCCCTCCCCGAGGAGCTGCTGCATTTTGGCTGGTGATGAACTGATGTTTGTTTTACACATTAGAAGACGGAGGACTTATTAGTTACTTGTGTCTGTTTAGTAATTAGGGCTTTGCAGGCTTACACTCCAGTTCTATTTCCCCATTGGGGATATAAAGAAATAGTAAATACTAGAAGCTTTAAAGGGGGAGGATCAGCAGTAGTCTCTTATCTGCATTTTGTTTCCTTGGTTTTTGTTTTTTAGCACCGTTCAGTAAGGCTATTGGCTACTGGACATCCCAATCTTGTCGAATGTATCCAATACCAGCATTGGCATCTATGAGCATTTAGCATCATTTTAATGACACATATTTCATGGGTCCTGTTTTCCTGTACTAGGTGCTTAATTGGCCCAAATTTCTGCTAAGATAGAGCATTGTACGACAAGAGTCGTCAGTAACCACTTTTTCCCCGTCTCTCTGGATGGAGCTCCTTGCTTATTATGTAGCTATGGGAATGATTTTGCATTTCTCTCGTTAGGGAGATGTCACACATGGAGACAGGGTTCCAGGGATGAGACAGTTAGTATTTCTCCCATGCATCTATTCTCTGATGAAATGGTGTTCTGTCCTTGGGGAGGGGGCACGGCAGTACCCCCATGGGGACAATGTAAAGTTCTAGGTCTCCCAGGCGGCCTGGAAGAGATAAGAACGTGGGAGAGGAGAGAAACAGGATCTGGCTACAGAGTGAAGATTTCTGAGAGATGTGTCTGCGAGACACAGCAGCTTTATTCTGATTGAGTTGCTTGCATTGACATCCCCGTTTTTGTTAAAATTGCGTTCATTGCTGAAGCCATGTTTTAAAGAAACCTATTTTCTGCCAAGAAAACTACAGCCAACCTACTGATGTAGCTATATTTAGATAATCACCTCCTCAGAGAGTTGAGGACTTCACACTCAATTATAAGATCAAAGTGACAAAGCTAGCACGTGGAAATCTGGTTCTAGAAGATCAGATCAATGTTCTTTTCTTACCCCTGCTGCACACACAGTCAGCTTCACTGGGGTTCTTAGGTGATAGCCACCCTCTTCCTCCAAGTAAGAGGAAGTAAAATTGTGCGTGCTGCAGGTCTTTCCTCCTGATGGTCCTTCTGTGCTATTTCTGCAGAGTGACTACTGGCTGGACATGGCTACTGGGTCCTTGCTGAGGGGTCCACCACTGGTCTGCTTCTTCTGTTTCCTGAGAGGGCAGCTTAGCATCTCTGCTCGGACCTCAAGCAGAAGCAACATTTCATAGTGAATGTTACCAGTATTCTTTGCTCAGACTTAAAGAGCACCCATTTCCCTCCCATCATTTGAAGGCAGAGTGTACAAGCAAGAATCCTGGGCTCGGTCGTGGTTCCCTGAGAGTGAGCAGCTGACAAGGCTCCAAGGCTCACACTGTGCTGTCTCAGATTGATTATATACATCGTCACACGCTTGCCACTCTTCCTTCCCCACCTACCTGATGTTATTTTCACTTTCAGCCACTTTTTCAGGCACTCTTGGTGAACAAACTGTAGGCTTCCCACACAGCCGCAGGGCTCCAGGAGGGGGTTGGTTGGGGAACCCCCGGCTATCTGACAGATGCGACACAGGTCTTCTTCCTCCTCGTAGTCCTCCTCCAGGAGACTAAATGGAAAACAAGCCCTCGTGACCAGGAGTTTCCACATTTGCAAATACCAGGGTGTTCATGGGAGACAGAAAAGGGAGCAATTCTCCCCACGGCCTGCTTGCTCAGGCTTCAGGAGCCCACCTACAGCTCTCTCCAACTCTGTGAGGATTCTTCCAGATGCTGTTATTGATAATTGATGAACCCATTCTTGTAACAGTCTGCTTTGCAGTCATTGGTACATTTGAGCTTAGTGGGAGGACCAGCGCTATCACCACAAATCAAGAAATGAGCAGAGGGATGGGGACTGGGAGTGTGGCTCAGTGGTAGACCAGTTGTCTAGCATACAGGAGGCCTGGGATTCAACCTCCAGTATCTCCAAAAAAAGAAGAAAGGAGGGACAGAGGAAAACTGCAGTAGGGCCAAGAACCTCTCTCCCTGATAGAGCTACCTCACAGGATTCATGGTCAGGGCTCCTTGATTTGAGGTCTGGAACAAGTTCATCGTATATTCTAGGGACTCTATTTCCCCATCTGCTGCCTGCTTTGCATGGTTGTAGCAGCCTGGGTGTGTGATGATAGTGAGCCTGTCCTGCAAACTGTAACGTGTATGCAAGGTGTGACAAAGCTTTTGCACACAGAGGCCACTTGATAGGTACTGGTTTGGATCACTGATGAGCCAGCAAACCTGGACATGAGCTCACCAATAACACAACACTTGTCAATGAGTGATGCCCACATTCCACAGTGTATGCTGCCGGAAGTTGATAAAGGTAGAATTAATGAAAACGTAAGCAAAAATATTTGTGTCTGATAAGTGGTGAGTGAAGCATAGCTGGTTGATATTCGTGTTGAGTTTTAAGAAGCTGACAGCTCTTTTTTTCTTTTCTTTTTTTCATTAGAATCTTCTTGGGACTGGGGTTGGAAGGAAACTGTCTAGAGACTGATATCAAAGGAAATATATACTTTGGTTTCTTAAGATATCTTCTTCCCCAAGAAAGGGTAGCTCAATGAAAAGAAATGTAATTTTCCATTATGGATACTGGGACTTATTTAAAATAATTTTATAACAAACTATTTTTTATTATCATACATTAATAGGACAAGGGGAGGTTAGTTGTGATAATTCCATTGTAAAACTATTTTTAATATTGAGATTTTTCACATATTTCAATATGTTTTATATTTTCATAAATAATCTGGAGTAATAAGTAAATAAGGAAGAAATGCCCTAACTGATAAAGTACAGGGAGATCTTACAAGTCTGAGAAAGTAGGCAGAAAAATGGCGGAAGAATTTAATTCAACTGAACACAAGGTAATGCACTGCTTTGCAAATGAAAATAATAAAGACCATCAGGCTCACCTAGAGGAACTTTCAAAGCAGACTCCTGGGCTCCAGCCTGGGAGATTCTGGTTTGGTACTTAGGGCCCAGGAATCTGAATGCTGTGATGGTCACCCAGGCCTAAAGACCACTAATGCAAGCAGTAGGATCAAGGTGGTTAGCCATAGTGGTTAAAAACATTTTGGTTGAAAATATAGTAGGTAAAAACAATATTTTTTTTGGTGGTACTGGAGTTTGAACTCAGGGCTTCATGCTTTGCTGGGCAGTCACTCATTACCACTTGAGCCACCCCACCAGTCCAAAAACACTTTCTTTGAGATGGGGTCTCTCTGTGTAGCTGAGGCTGGGCTCAAACATGAGATCTCTAGAGTGCTGGGATTACAGGGCTGCACCACCGCCCTTAGCACGGTAATTTTTTTTTTTATAGTTCATAAACAACTATCTCTTAACCTAAGGTCCTCTACATCCTCAAAGGTGTGAGTGGAAACCCAAGGGCCGTTATAGTTTTCAAGAAAAAATTTTGCAAATAAAAGTGAAAAAGAGACAGAAAGGTACAGAGTCTAAAAGAAAAGTCAGGCCAAACGTCATCACATCAAAGTAGCTGCTCACTAACAGTTTGCTCACTAACAGTGACCACTAACAGTGGTCACTTCTGAGCACACAGTTTTACAGAGTTGAGACTGACTTAGCAGTAGACCAGGACAGCAGTCAAAGGAGTCCCACCCACTTTCCAGCCCCAATCTCTTAAAAAGAAGAAAAGAGGCTACAGATCGAAGCCATCATACTGCTTGCAAAGAAGCAGGGCAGAAATAAGGAGGGATTCCTGGAAAGCAGACGCAGAGATGAGGACATCTGAGAGGAAGGAGACTGTCACCCAAGACCCACTCCGGAGCAAGAACTGAGAAGGGGATTCTCAGCCGGGGGTGCGTGAGTATGTGGCTCGGGAAAATTTGAAGACTAGACCTGCCTCAGTGTGGCCTGAGGTAGCAATATTAAAAGATGAAACCGAATTTGGAGCTAAAAGTATAAAGTTACATATTGATCAATCTACCAAGAAAATATTAGTCATTATTCTTTTTTTAAAAAATATAGTTCTGGCGATGTCACGAACCTTAATGCGCTAAATAAATACGTATTTCTTACAGATACCGAGGAGAATGAGCAAGGAGAGTAGGAGGCTTTAATAAATGCCTTTCAGAAATTGACAAATTCAACAGGAACAACTAAAGTATGCAAGATTTTAACAGCAAATTTTTCAAACTGTTTTATATGTGTATATAGATGATGAGAGAACAGAGAACAGAAACTGTTCTGTGCTGTGCAATAGTTGTAAATATTGAATATTGTACTGGGGGCATCGTGCAATTAAATTAGGATAGACAATAAAAACTTTTAAAGAGAAGGGTAAAAAAGGGAAGCTTGCTAGAGCAATTATCTTTAAAATCCAGAAACCTACAATAAGTAAAAGTGTACAGTTTCTGCAGTATTTCAGGCAGATTAATAGAACAGAGTGAAAAATCCATAAACAGATTGGTAGGGATGGTGTATGCCAAAGAAGGCATTTCCAATTAGTAAGGAGAGGATAGAGTGATTGTGGCACAAACTGGCGAAATATTAAAAGGAAAAGGAGAAAGGAAAACTGACATTGGAGCCCCTCCTATCACACACCAGCATCCATCCCATCTGAGCGTAAGTGTAACGACATATGTCAGGTGCCTGTTATGTGCTAGGTACTCTGACTTTTCAAAACCTCATTTCATTTTCACTGCTGTCTGAGGGGTATCTATTGTTATTTCTGTTTTCTGGATGGAAAAACAGATTTTTGAAATGAAGGAACTTTTCCAAAATCATAGTCGGTAGAATCAGGAATCAAATCTAGAACCATTGGACAACAAAGCCTATGTTTTTAACCTGTATGGTGTATAAAATGAGAATACAAAAATACTAGAAGACAATAATTATGGACACTTGAGTGATCAAGGATTTACTAAACATGGCAGCTGAGGCAAAAGCCAGAAGGGAATGTATTTTGCCAGATTTCATTGAAAGTAATTTTAGAATTCCACATCGTGTACATAAAATATAAATTAAGTAAAAAAGTGAAAAAGTGTCAGCCCAATCTTTGGCAGAGGTTTACTACTGAATTTATATAAACAATGTGGGTAAAAATAATACAAATCTCCCCATAGAAAAATGGACAAGGGACATGATCAGGCAATGATAATGACAAATGAAGAAATGCAAATGAACAGTTAAACATTCAAAAAATTCAAAATTCAAAATTTGAAAATCAAACTGATCATAATTTTACAAACATGAAATCCATGGAATTGACAAGGATGTAGAGCCAAAGGACTCTCACAAAATGGTGGTGATGGCTGGCAAAGTGGTTCAAGTGGTGGAGCGCCTGCCTAGCAAGCATGAGGCCCTGAGTTCAAATCCCAGTGCTGCCAAAAAAAAAAAAAAAAAAGAATAAAATGATGGTGAGACTGCAAAAGTGTAGAACTTTCTGGAAGAACAACTTGAAAATAGACATTACAAAGCTTAAAGATATGTATTCCTTTCCTTCAGCGTTACATATTTAGGAAGTTATCTTAGGTGATTAAGTGTGGCTATGTTCAAAAAGGAGACCGACCAAATGACAACAAATACATTCAATATAAAATCAGCAGTTCTTAAAAAATTTACATAATACTGCACTATATAAAAAAAATCAAGCGGTAGAGTGTTTTTTGAGCAAGCGAGGGTCTCTGAGTTAAATCCCAGGTACTGACCCCAAAAAAAGGAAAGAAGAGGGAAAAAGTATAAAAAAAAATAACATAACAGCTGAGGGTGTGTGGTTAAAGTGGCAGAGTGCCTACCTATCAAGTGTGAAGCCCTGAATTAAAACCCTAGTACTGCTAAAGAAAACCTCACAAAAAAAACCTAAGTAAATGAACAAAAAAAAATCTAAAGGAACCACAATATTATTCAGAGAAAGCAAACTAAAATATTATTCAGAGTTAAAATTATTTACATGAAAAGCTCAAATAATCTTACAGACAAAATATTGTCAATAATTAGGGTTTAACAAAACTAGAGAGAAAAAATATGGGCAATTGCATTTCTGTACATGAACCACAAATAGAATTTAAAAACGTCATTTCAAGCATTCAGGAGGAAGAGGTCAGCTTGAACTATACAGGAAGGCCCTGTCTCAAAAAAACAAAGTTTCAGTAGCAGGAATTCCTAGCCGGAGCAATTAGGCAAGAAGAAGGAATAAAAGGAATACAAATAGGTAAAGAAACTGTCAAAATATCCCTATTTGCAGACGACATGATCCTATACCTTAAAGACCAAAAAAACTCTACTCAGAAGCTTCTAGACATCATCAATAGCTATAGCAAGGTAGCAGGATATAAAATCAACATAGAAAAATCATTAGCATTTCTATACACTAACAATGAGCAAACGGAAAAAGAATGTATGAAAACAATTCCATTTACAATAGCCTCAAACAAAATCAAATACCTAGGTGTAAACCTAACAAAAGATGTGAAAGACCTCTACAAGGAAAACTATACACTTCTGAAGAAAGAGATTGAGGAAGACCATAGAAAGTGGAGGGATCTCCCATGCTCATGGATTAGTAGAATCAACATAGTAAAAATGTCAATACTCCCCAAAGTAATCTACA